CGTTCTAGGAGTTTAGAGGTAAATGGCAGCAGGGAGATGGGTTTTGCACATCTTGGCTGTAACTGTCAATGAGCATGTGCAAAAGCATCTTAATGTTGTGACCTATTGGTAGTGGGGCTGTCCATTCACGGGTGTGGTGCAGTTGGACATGTACAGTACCACAGCTGTAGGAATAAATAATGGACTCCTGGCTTGGCACAAGGTTGTAGCATTAGGGATCAGGTGGTCAGAGGTACTATAAGGATCGTTATACGTAGGGCTGCTTGGATAGATGGAGGGGGCCTTTGGAACAAAACTACACAAGCAAAAGTTTGATAATGAAGATAGACTAATGATTCACTGAACAGTCTGTGTTCAAGTAGTTCTTCCTAAAAGACACTTGGTCAAGTGAAATGATAGTCTTTGCACATAGCAGCTGCAGATGTGTTGACCAAATGACTGTCCAAATAAACAAAACAAATAAAATATTACTAATTCAGATGTTAATATTACCCCATAGGAGGTAAATAAACCTGTTGACCAATCATGACTAAGCACCTGGACCCCTTTCTGTAACCTCCTGTTGTAATAGCCCCAGCTTGGTGTGTTGTTATGTAATTATAGCTTTTACAAATTCTGGTAACCCTCAAATTAAACCAAAACTCTATTGAGGTCATCCGAAACCTTCCATCCCAGCAGTTATTTACAGTATGTCATGTAAATGTACCAAAATCAGGGCACCATGATAAATTCACATTATTGCGCTGTAGAGCTGGAGACTTGCAGTTAATTCTCACCGAGGGCACGATCTGTATGGAGTTTACATGTTCTCTTTATATTTGCATGGACTTTCTAAAAGGATTATGGTGCTGTCCCATTATTTAAATACCTACTGGTAGGGTAAGTGGGTGCAGAATTAGCAACCTGGCCCTGTAAAAAAATTAGTTGCTGTTTTATGGTATACTCCAGCCATATTTGAATATTAAAGCATGAGATGCAGATGGGGAGCACAGCCTACCTGCTGAGAGTAAGTGGGTGCAGAATTAGCAACCTGGCCCTTTACAAAATTAGTTGTTTTATGGTATGCTCCAGCTATATTTGAATATTTAATGCATGGGATACAGATGGGAAGCACAGCCTACCTGCTGAGATGTTGAGATTTTAATGCAAGTATTGCCGTAATGCACATATCTACTCCCTATATTCTGTAATCTGGTGATCTGAGAACCCCTGCTTGTGATGTATAAAACCTATTCCCAGGCACACCCAATGCACATTTCTTGTCTCTCAATTACAGAAATTCCAGTACTTCCTCAAAGCAACCAATCAGATTCACCTCTGCCTTGGAAATTTGAATGTGATTGCTGATCCATCATGTAGGCGGTTTCAGGGTATGGGCTTCCAGAAGTACCCTTCCAGGGGTCCTGTGAGGTGCTAGCTGTATTTTGTTTGTGGTGGATTACACAGAGCTCTGATCAAAGTAAATTGAGTGAACTTTTTGATTTAGGAACAGTTGCATGATCTGTGGGATAGCTGTAGACATTCACTGATTGCTTTCACTTGTTGCCTGGAATGGCAAGCAACTGCGTTGTGGTTTGCTTGCACAGAAAAGACCTCTGTAATAGTCAGATGTTGGAATCTTTTAGATAGTGTCACAGCTCCGCCATGTATGGGAGCCTTTCATTCCTTAAAAGCCTTCAGCCTGTTTTGTTGACAGTCCTTTCAGTTCTATGCCCCAGTCCCAATTTATAGCAAGAGGAGGGACACAAGACAAAGGCATTGTATTTCTTTTGCCACTTCATGGGTGAATATTTGGTCTCTTTCTGTCCCGGAGGTGGGGGCTTTTTCACAGGCCTATTAAAGAGACTGGTGCATTTCCTTTGAAGGCTTAATTACCTTCCAATTAGTTAATGAATAAACCTTCCCTGTTCATTCCCCATAGCCCATGGAGAAAAAAAAACCTCTCTTGTTAAAGTCGCAGAAAATCTTACTATACACACCTCTCCCCTCCTGTGCCCTATCAACAGCGATCCATTTCGCTAAAATCTCAGCTCAAAGGCTTCTCAGCTCATTGCAGTGCTATTTAATCCCAATGGCTTCAGGGCAGCGTTATTGTATATGCCCGGCCAGCCCAGGTGTGCTAATAATGTCCCCGCACTGCATGAACACAGGGGAGTGACAAGCTCAGGTATCTAGGAGTCAGTTATGGGGCCCTCCCGCAGCATTGCATGGAGAACGGACAAAGGAAAGACAGGGCTGCAGATTCAGAAAAACTGCAACACATGAAAACATGGCTGTATACATAGCTAGATAAAAGCAAATGGTGCAGATTTTTACAATAAGTCCTGGAAAAATTGTTGTTCCAAGTTTCTGATTGTTGTAAACAATCACTAGGTTTTCTAGGATGTGTTTTTGTGACCGGTAAGCGGATCATTTCACTTTTGAGTAAAGGAAAATGGAGTTAGAGCGAACCTGAAACAGTATTAAAGTGACTGTCGCATTAGAACAAAACTAAAAAAAAAAAAAAGCCTTCTGTGAAAGAAGAAGCTTGAGCCTGGGTTCACATGTTTGGGGCTGGTTTTGTAGTGCGATTTGTGCAGTTTATTTCAGCAGTTCAAGTGCGACTCCAGTGCGAATTGTTAAAGTGTATGACATTAGAAATCACACCTGAACCGGGCTGAAAATCGGGGACCTGACTCTTTTTTTAAATTGCACTGTGGCCGGCCTGCACATATGTGAACCGGCTCCATAGAAAAGGATTTTGGTTCACATGTCATGCAAATGGGATGTGGTTTAAAACAAATCCAATATGCATATATGCGATCCAGGTCTTATACTTGCCTCTCCCGTGGTCACTACTGTACCCTCTCATGACATAGGGGCTAATGAGTGGAGCCACAGTACACAGCAAGGGTCATATTATCCGACACACTCAGAAGTCTTGGAAGCAGCAGCACCCAGATCTCTGCAAGTTTCAACAAAGAATCGTTTTGAAGGCCTGATTTGCTAAACCTGTGTGCATAAAAAGTATCAGATTGTGTAGGAAAATTTTGAAAATGAGTTGTTTGAAGTGAAGACTTGTACTTGTATCCTACCACATTTTGCTTCATGCTTTTGTAAATCAGATCCAGATCTTGCATTGAGCAGATATTACATGTTGCTTGTTGTCTTTGTGAGCCAGAAAAGCATACCCCATACCCATCTCCAATTTAGCACTTATTATGCGGACCTTACTTTTCACAACTTCACAAGCTCAGCAACTACCAACTTACAGTCCAATAAGACTACCTTAGCCAAAAAGTGTTCTGCAGTTAGGCAGGTGGGTGTGACTAACCAAATGGCTAAAAGGCAAACACCAAATCATCCTTACTGCACCCAGATGAGCCCATGGATCAATGACAGTGTCCAGAAAGGCCTCAATTTTTTTCGAACTCAAATCATAACTACCCCCCCCCCCCCCCAATCGAACCAAATCCTCATCCCCAATATTCAAAAATCCAATGCCAGTGTCAGGAATGGACTGGCCAGCAATGGTGGGACTCACCTGCCTTTTGATCTGCAGTACCAGGGCTGGCCAGCGGGTGCTCCCAGCAATCAGAGACTCAACCTTTCAGCCAGCTAACACCTGGAACTGATGATACTGGTGTATTTAAGGGATGGCCAGACTTGCAGACTCTGCCTTGGTGTTGTGTTTGTCCTGGGCCCTGTATCTGTCCTGCATCCTGTTTCTGTTCCTTTGCTGACCCTGCCTGATCTGAACCGCTGCTGACTTCTCCTGCTCTGATCCCGGCTCGCTCCTGACCATCCCTCTGCCTGACCCTCTGTACCACGCTGCTTGCTACCTGTTCTGATCCCTGGCTTGTGACCCTGACCATCCCTCTGCCTGACCCTCTGTACTACGCTGCTAGCTACCTGCTGAACCTGGCCTGTGACCCCAACCCATCTCCGCTTGCTCCCCCTGTACCTACCTGCCCTATTGATATTGACCCGGCCTGCCTGACGACGCTTGCTTGTATGTACTGTTATCTGTGGGTGGTTGGTTTGGTTTGTTTGCACTGTATTATGTTTTAGTATTGCACTGCGTTTATGTTTGTATGGTTAGTGTTAATAAATTATATTGTTTATCACATATCTGAAGTCTGCGTTTCCCTGCGTCAGTCACACACCTCTGGTCACACCTGGGAGCCCTGACATTACACCAAGGCCAATCCTGACCAGAAGTGGCTGCACAGGGAAGCCATCTTGGCTTGTTGCTGGGAAGGATGGATCTGGATGAGGTTGAGTATTTATCTCTGCTAGTGCTTGATGACAGAAAATATGCTTATCAGACTCTGAAGGAGTATCCCCGGGATGAACTGCTAGAATGTATACGGCTCGCTCATGTTCTAGTAGATCAGGGCACAGATTTCTCTATGGTGCAGCCATTGATTAAGGTTTGTGTTGAGTGAGTTGGGTTTCATCTGGTTCCCCCGAATGCAGGGATGAATTTTTGCCACCATTTAGTGCAGACCAGGTAGAGTCCCTGGTATGGTTATTAGAGGATGATGTGGGTTACTTTCTGGAGCGTTATTCCACATGTTCACCACAGGTACTAAGAGATTGTATAAACGCAGTGCAGTCTTTGGTCAGACAGGCTTTGTGTAAACTCAGCTTTGTTCAACCCGTACTGCAGACAGGGACAGACTTGTTGCACCCAGCCTCAGTCAGCTTACAAAGACCCAGTCCTGCTTCTAATCTATTTCCTCAAAACTCTATTCCTGCATTCCCAACAACTCCCCCAGTTACAGCCCAGTATACTTGGCTATCTACCGCATGTCAGTACCCTGTTCCCACTCGCTGCACCTATCCTGCCTTTAACCCTGTAAAAAAGCCCTCTGTAGCAACTGCTCCCTCTCCTGTTCCATCCTCCATTTCTTCTCTGTCTCCAGCTGCTCCATTTGTTTGCAGACCTGCGTTTACTTGCAGTGCTCCAGTAGTTAAAACCAGAAAAAAGCGAAAATTCTTTCCAACCAATACCATCCTGCCAGTATCCAAACCGGTGAACCTGCCTTCCGTGGTTCAGCCTGAAGCCTCTACTCAGCCTGAATCCTCTACTCTGCCAGCCTGAATCCTCTACTCAGCCTGAATCCTCTACTCAGCCTGATGCCTGTACTCAGCCTGATGCCTGTACGCTGCCTGATGCCTCTCTTCTGCCTGAAGCCTCTACTCGGCCTGGAGCCTCTACTCGGCCTGGAGCCTCTACTCGGCCTGGAGCCTCTACTCGGCCTGAAGCCTCTACCCAGCATGATGAACTGATCCAGCCTGACGATCCTATTAGGCCAGTTGACTCGATGCCTGCTGTTGATCCAGATGATCCGGTACCTGATCCGGTGCCCCGCTATCGTGCCAATTGACTCAGAGCCCGCTGTCGTACCTGGTGACTCGGTGCCCACTGCCTTGCCAGATGACGCGGTGCCCGCTGGCGAGCCAAATGACCTGATGCCTGGTGACCCAGGGCCCGCTGTCATACCTGGTGACCCGATGCCCGCTGTCGAGCCAGACGATCCATTGTGACCCTGGTGACCCGGTGCCCACTGTCGTGCCTGTTGACTCGGAGCCCACTGCCTTGCCAGATGACGCGGTGCCCACTGTCGAGCCAAATGATCTGATGCCTGGTGACTCGATGCCCGCTGTCCAGTCAGACGATCCAATGTCTGACCCAGTGCCCGCGGTCATACCAGTTGACTCGGAGCCCACTGCCTTGCCAGATGACGCGGTGCCCGCTGTCGAGCCAAATGACCTGATGCCTGGTGACCCAGTGCCCGCTGTCATACCTGGTGACCCGATGCCCGCTGTCGAGCCAGACAATCCGGTACCTGATGACCCGGTGCCCACTGTCGTGCCTGTTGACTCGGAGCCCACTGCCTTGCCAGATGACGCGGTGCCCGCTGTCGAGCCAAATGACCTGATGCCTGGTGACCCGATGCCCGCTGTCCGGCCAGACGATTCAATGTCTGCCCCAGTGCCCGCGGTCATGCCAGTTGACTCGGAGCCCACTGCCTTGCCAGATGACGCGGTGCTCGCTGTCGAGCCAAATGCTTGATGCCTGGTGACCCGATGCCCGCTGTCCAGCCAGACGATCCAATGTCTGACCCAGTGCCAGCGGTCATGCCAGTTGACTCGGAGCCCACTGTCGTGCCTGGTGACTCGGTGCCCGCCGCTTCACCTGGGGGCCCGAGACCTGTCGCTCCGCCTGGGGGTCCGGCGCCCGCCGCTCCGCCTGGGGGTCCGGCGCCCGCCGCTCCGCCTGGGGGTCCGGCGCCCGCCGCCCGCCCGCCCCGCCTGGGGGCCTGAGACCTGTCGCTCCGCCTGAGGGCCCGAGACCTGTCGCTCCACCTGGGGGTCCGGCGCCCGCCGCTCCGCCTGAGGGCCCGAGACCTGTCGCTCCACCTGGGGGTCCGGCGCCCGCCGCTCCGCCTGAGGGCCCGAGACCTATCGCTCCACCTGGGGGTCCGGCGCCCGCCGCTCCGCCTGAGGGCCCGAGACCTGTCGCTCCACCTGGGGGTCCGGCGCCCGCCGCTCCGCCTGAGGGTCCGAGACCTGTCGCTCCGCCTGGGGGTCCGAGACCTGTCGCTCCATCTGGGGGTCCGGCGCCCGCCGCTCCGCCTGGGGGCCCGCTGCCTGCTGCTCCTCCTGCCCGATGTGCCTCTGCCCGGAGTCCTGCCCGATGTGCCTCTGCCCGGAGTCCTGCCCGATGTGCCTCTGCCCGGAGTCCTGCCCGATGTGCCTCTGCCCGGAGTCCTGCCCGATGTGCCTCTGCCCGGAGTCCTGCCCGGTGTGCCGCTGCCCGGAGTCCTGCCCGGTGTGCCAGTCTTTGATATCCCGCCAGTTACCAGACCCGGGCGGTGGAACATTTTGCCCAGCTAGGACTGTTTGGAGCGTCCTGAGGCCGCTCCTTGAGGGGGGGGTACTGTCAGGAATGGACTGGCCAGCAATGGTGGGACTCACCTGCCTTTTGATCTGCAGTACCAGGGCTGGCCAGCGGGTGCTCCCAGCAATCAGAGACTCAACCTTTCAGCCAGCTAACACCTGGAACTGATGATACTGGTGTATTTAAGGGATGGCCAGACTTGCAGACTCTGCCTTGGTGTTGTGTTTGTCCCTGGGCCCTGTATCTGTCCTGCATCCTGTTTCTGTTCCTTTGCTGACCCTGCCTGATCTGAACCGCTGCTGACTTCTCCTGCTCTGATCCCGGCTCGCTCCTGACCATCCCTCTGCCTGACCCTCTGTACCACGCTGCTTGCTACCTGTTCTGATCCCTGGCTTGTGACCCTGACCATCCCTCTGCCTGACCCTCTGTACTACGCTGCTAGCTACCTGCTGAACCTGGCCTGTGACCCCGACACCTGTACCTACCTGCCCTATTGATATTGACCCGGCCTGCCTGACGACGCTTGCTTGTATGTTACTGTTATCTGTGGGTGGTTGGTTTGGTTTGTTTGCACTGTATTATGTTTTAGTATTGCACTGCGTTTGTTTGTATGGTTAGTGTTAATAAATTATATTGTTTATCACATATCTGAAGTCTGCGTTTCCCTGCGTCAGTCACACACCTCTGGTCACACCTGGGAGCCCTGACAGCCAGAGCCTTTACTGGGACACTGATCCTTAGTCATTGGTTTTTTTTATGGTTGGTGGAGTGGAACACCCAGTATCAGGCTCATTTAAAACTATTTTCAGGAGACATCTAGCTTCCCCTCTCTGCTGACGCCTATTATTGGCCACTCATACTTTTTTCCGGGTATCTCTGATCAAGACTTTCAACTTCGGCCAGACCTGAACCTGGTTAGAGCTTCTACCTTTCTTGGTCCCTCTTGATGGGTCTGTCCATTGGTCCTATATGGTGCTTTCAACTCCTGTTCTGGGCAGGTGGGAGATTTTGCAACTGTCCCATTTTATCCGGTCCCTCCCAGACCATGTTTCTTCATTCGAAGACCTCTGTCTGGAAGATGAGCCCTTATGGAAATCTCTGTCCTCCTCTTACAGTATCTTACTTGCAGTCACATCTCAGCATGACCCTTCAAATGGGAAAGAGATCTTAACACTACATTCTTGGAGGACCAAAAGAACCAGATACTCCTTATTGCTCACAAGCCTTTCCTTTGCAGTAAATACCAGGAGATCACATTTAAAATCTTGATGCACTGGTACCAAAGCCCACTAGTACTAGTGTCAATATTCCTTGGACACAACCCGTTATGCTGGTGTTGCAGTACCCAGGCTGGCATGCTACTCCACATCTTCTGGGACTGTTCAAAACTCCGCCCCTTCTGGCAACAGGCCCTGCAAGATCGTTCACAAACTTAGGGACATTTCTCTTTTTAACAACCCGGCTGCAGTGCTCCTTAACTTTTTTCCTATGGCCATTAGTAGATACCTTAAGTCCTTGTTGAAACATCTTCTGAATTCCGCCAGGTCATGCATCCCCAACATTTGGAAACCGCAATCCCCACTTTCTATGTTGCAATGGTTTGCCAGGATGACTGATATTCAACAGATGGAACACCTGACTGCTGCCCTCAAGGACAAGACCGAGGAACACAGCACACGCTGGCTATACTGGGGCATGCTCTATTTCTCTCTCTCTATTTGACCTATCCTTCAATTGAGGTTACTTCTTTATGGGAACCAGACTTCTTTGGCTGTCGACCCCTCCGAAGCCCCCCACCTTCCCTCCTTTTTTCTTCTCCCCATTTTTCCCCCTTTCCTTGACACCTAGGGCGTCTACTTTTCTCCTCTAAAATCCAGGAAAATGCTATCAGGTATGCACCAACCGCTAGGTATAACTGCTCTGAGGCCTCGGCAAGGTATCATTCACTATATGAGGTCTATGTTTAACTCCCCCACTTCATAATGGTTCTGTGTCTGCTAGTTTGTGCCATCTTCTTGGTATGTGCATGTCAGTTATGTTCTCTTATATGTCTTCCTCCACATTGCAGAATATATTTGCTGTGGAGGCCCGAGTCCTAAGTCTTTAGGCACTGCATGCTAATGTGCTGGAACATGATTTATTATTTTATTGATGTCTTTTAACTCTTTGTTTTTACATGCTAAGTATATTACTGCTGGAAAGATATCATTTAAGCATAGATTGTTGTGTCATACTATTATGTTTTGTTGCAAACCTTATAAAAAAAACCCAAAAACTATTTTTAGGCTACAAAACTGCACATGCAGCTTGCCTGCTGTTCAGCCTTATTGATGATGTCTACAGTTCCTTTGTAGGACAGGTTGATTTTAAATGACAAAGGTAGAAAATTATAATCTTGAGGAAGACCCTGTTTACTGAACTAATCATGTTTGTTAGAAGACATTATTAAACTGTTAAAACCTTGAAGTAACTTCACTATCTAAAATTTAATAAGTGTGTGCACAGACTATAGCTGCTCAGTAACTCCTAGTAGCCAATCAAATTTCACCATCACTCTCGATTAGTCAGTCAGTTCAGGCGATTGATGTTTGGCATGGGATACTGTATTTTAAACTTTGCGCTTACTCTTAGTAAATTTGCCTGTGAATATTTGCAGTTTCCGGGTTCACCCTTTTCATCACGAAGTGGAAGAAAACCTTAGGGTGAGGGAGTCCATCTTTTTTTTTTTTTAATTTCCTGGCACATTCCTAGAGATAATTAGGCAATGACAGCTTGGTAAGCACTGAACCTCCTCCCAGGGCATGGCATTGTTTCTTGGCCCTTTGAACATATTGGTCATGAATAAAGGTTATAAATTCCAGGCCTATTCAAGCAGCCACCACCCTCTCCTCCAGTTCCTCAATCCATCTTACACAACTGTGGTCACTTTTATTGAGGCCTCCTCATTTCCATACTTAAGCAGCCATCTTCTACCCACCCCTTTCATTTGTACAGAGATTTTTAGTGCCCTCCGGCTACAGTTTTAGGAACAACTTTTGTGCACATTGCCAGAGGGCATTGAAATCAAGCCACCAGTTGTGTTAGTCAGCAAGGCAGCTCAAAGAGCAGTGGCGATACATACAGTGCAATAATCCACAGCAATCAATGAGACTAATTTGATCAGTGTCATTCGAGAAAGAGGATTGTAAAGTTTCTGCACTTTCTAGGCCATGCATATTTCTGCTGACCATTCACTAGGATTGTGCAGTAAATTAGAACTGTGTATTGCGTTAAAAGGTTTTAAGGCGCACCAGAATACTTGGATTTAACATGACGACAATTCTCTGTACACAGCATACTTCCTTTTGGCAGTACCCCTATTATTATTATACAGGATTTATCTAGAGCCAGCAGTTTGCTTAGCGCTTCAAAATATAACGGGAGACAATACAGCAACGATACAATTCAATACAAGAGGGTTAGGAGGGCCCTGCTCCTTGGAGCTTACAATCTAAGAGGAAAGGGCTGGTGGTACAAAAGGTAATAACTGTGGGGGATGGACTGGTAGAAGGAATAGAAGATTCTATTAGTTGAAGGCAGGATAGGCTTCCCTAAAGAGAGGTTTTCAGAGGTCACCTAAAAGTGGGCAGAGTAGGCGATAATCTGATAGATTGAGGTAGAGAGTTCCAGAGGATGGGGGAAGCTCTGGAGAAGTCCTGGAGATGAGCATGGGAGGAGGAGACAAGGG